TCTTGTGTTCCGAAAATTGGTTAGCAATTTTCATAACCAATTTAGTAAAAATAAAATAGCGTTTCTTTCTGTTTTTAATTTTATATCACAGTGACTGCAAATGTTATTGTCACGTTTCTGCTATCTTTTAAATCAATAGTGAAAATGAAACAGTTCACCTTTATTGCTTAAAACATTAGTTAAAAATCTTTTATAATTCAGTGCATTTCTCTTGTCTTGTGTGAATATCAAAATGTGCATAATTAGTCTGAGTTCTGGCACTTTAGTGCTTAGCTATTGAAGATTTAAAAAAATCAAACAAGTATACAGAGAAGAAAGATGGTTAGCTCTTATTTTCAAGCTATCAGCATTAAGCAGAAATTATACTGTTTGATTTTCTCTAAGTATAAGAAAGTAGTTAAAATCTATTTTGTAAAATGTCCTTCATACAGTTTGGACAGGCCAGTGAGGAAGCTAAGATGTTCTTAAATTTCAATTCATATAGTTGCATGGAGCAATTATAATTTTTTTTTTTAATTTGTACATTGATAGCCACGGTGAGATTTTTGTATATATTCATGTTAAACATACAGGGTACAGATATGGGGCAGGAACTGCTGTATCCTCAGGTGTTTGTAACGGGTTGCTACAGCAGCGATGCGCGGGCTCTGCTCTGTTGTGCTTCAGCCATCCTTGGTGTTAAGGAAGCTGAATTCCTGCGCTCTGCTAGTGCCGAGCACCTGGCGTGCTGCAGGAGTCGGGCCCTCCCACTGATGCAGGAGGAGAATCTGGATGTGATTTGAACCTCTTTGCTTTATAGTGGAATTCGTAATCTGCTCTGAATTGTTACCTTTCGACTGGAGTGCTACTTTGATACCTCGTGTCAGCCGTAGTGGCACAATGCGAGAAAATGAACTGTACTGAGCAGTGAGATACACACGGGGAAACCTGCGAGGGTCTGAAAATGATCAAATACTTGCTGAAATAGCTCAGTGCTTCTCTGCTTAATAACAGCCCCGTTTGCTGTCACCCCTGCTGCTCGCTTTGTGTGCGCTCCTGTGCCGCTGTTCGTGGAGAAAGGAAAGAACTAATGGAGCCTGCGAGACAGGTGCGGGAATCCTCAGATGTTCTTGTCCTCCTGTTTGCTCGGAAGCAGCAAGAAAGAGAAGAAGCGGAGGGGATCTAACTGCGTTACTAGTTCAGCTTTCAATATGGTTAACCCAGGGACTCAATTTAATGGCAGCATCGTATCCACTAAGCCTCTCCCAGCTGCACATCCCGGCTCAGCCAAGTGCCGAGAAGGACCTCGCAGGTTCGGAGGTGCCTTGGGCACGGAGGCTTCCTGGGCCTGGGCTTTGTTTCCCAGGAAGACCCTATCGCTGCCTGGAAAAGGTTCCCAGCAGTGAGTGCTGGGGGAAATGTGTATGTTAGGGCAGGCCAGCTGTTCGCTCCTTAAGGATAAGGTAGATAAAGACGCTAGTGTAATGAAAAATACAGATTTTCCTTGGAAACATCCCCTTGGCAATGCCGTTTTATCCCGCCGATTACATAACCAGCCTTGCTTTTCTTGCAGCTAAAGTGGATTCTGTTTTAACTCTGAGTTAAAATGAGATCATCGCTATAGAAGGGAGTGGGGGAGATTGAAGTGAGTACTTGCTGCTGGAACTGAGATATGCATTGACCGTACCCGCGATAAAATATTAGTGGTCACTGCAAATCACGACTTGTGATTGGAAAGAGAGGAATTCTGTAATTGGACATTCTGCTGAAGAAATTGCTATGTAAACAGCTTGTTTTAAAATAACTGTTAGATTCATTGTTATCTGGAGTATGGAATGCTTTCAAAGCTTCCCCCTGCAGTTAGTAAAGAAGGAAAAACACACAAAGTTCCCTAAAGCTAGAAGAGACTTAGACTTCTCTGTATTTGTAGTGTAGAAATAGTGCAGTATTTATTATAAAAATGCCTATTCAGAGAAGACAAAAAGTTATCTTCCTGAAAATCCAGTGTGACCTTTGTGTATTTTTAGGTTTCAACATGATGCGGATAAGCATTTTTAATAATTTAATTACCTTTAAACTATTTAGTTAGGAAACAGTTTGTTTATTTTTAATGTTAGATGTGGAATAAGGAGACTTTCTCTTCTGCTGTTTCTTGCTTGAAATCCACAGTGAGTCGTCTGCTTGACCAAACTTTGCTCAGCTGCCAGCAAGGGTTAGTCTGTGGCTGAGTGTCTTGCAGATTAATAAAAGCCCTACGCGTGCTGCTTCCAGTGAAAATATTTGTGGTGAAAATGTGTCAGAGCAAAATAAAGTAATGCAAAAATGAAGCCATCTGGTGTGTAAACCCGGAGCCTGAAATGAGCACAAAGCCAACAGCCCTCCTCCCTAGTATGCTAATTTCTTTGAATTGCTTCAAGTTAATTATGTTTTTTTAATCTTGGTGAAATATTGAAGCTTTAGGATAAACAGCTTTGAAATGAAGGAAAAAAAAAAAAAAAAAAAAGAGCCTCCACTTCTATAAGACTGAAACAAAATACCTAAGCAACGTATTCACTGGAAGTTTTGTCTCCTGTAAGAGTTCATCGAAATCTACATAATTCTAGGGACCTTTTAGGTTTCAAGATAGAAAAAATGCTTCGATGAGAAATGTTAACTTTAAAACCATTAAATTTGATAAGCTTCACCTAGGCCCAATTAACAGGCTCCAAAGCAACGTGAGCCAGTGCATTATTGGAGAAACACCAGAAAGCGAATAACATCATCCCGGAGTGAAATTTCACTGGCCGCCCCAAGGCCCGGAGCAGGCTGGGGCTGTGGGTATTGGGATCCTGCAGCACCGCGCGGTTCCTGAAGAGCCTTGGTGGGGCTCTAGTGTCAGTGGGAAGGCGCAGGGCGCGCGGCGGGAGCCGCTCGGCGCCGCCTTTCCGTGCTCAGCACCCAGCCAGGTCCCCGGGCGCCGCAAGGGCCGTGGGAGCCAGCCGGCTGCCTGCCATGTGCCCGCGTGGTCATTAGCCCTTTACAAACTTCTATTACTGTTAAAATTAAAAATCTAGTTCTGTTTTTCAAGAGGAGCCACCCCAAGAATTCTTTCTTTGTTTGGCTTTTAGATTATTCCACCTATGTAGCATCATTAATATTGCTAGAGTTGCTCATGTTCTTCAGAGCTGAGAACAGAATCTGTAACTCTGTTGTGCAGAACGTGACTTACATTTAGCTCCGTTCCCATTTTTGTATGTTTACGACTGGCTTGCAAAGTTTTGGAATTAACAAGATTTTCAAAGCTTGAACAGGAAGTTTTCCCTTTCCAGCTGCCACTATCTTGCTCTGCTTTCCAAGTACTCTCTGTTTATTAGTAGCTAATTTGGGAGAATTCTTAAACTACTGCAGTATCTGGCTAACAACTTTGTGGTTTTAGGAAAAACAGCCTTAGCTTGGATTTGCCAGTTGGAGTCTATTGCCATGAAATACCCTGGGACAATATAAACAAATATTCTTGTCTGGAAAAAAACACATAATTAGAATATTTGTTCTCATGTTCAAGTACTGAATGCATTGCTGAGTGCTTGCTATGTATAGATCATATTAGCAAAAGAGCACTTGTGCATTTTGCAGTACTGGCTCCAATAAAAAGCTCCTGAGTTACTTTGCAGTTCTGTGCATCCTCGTAGCGTAAGGAGCTGCTGTAGGGGATCCAAGGAAGCGGGTGGGATAGGGTGTGCGTCTATACGTTAGTCACGCGTCCGTGTGCCCGTGTTCTCTCAAACCAACGTTTAAGGACTGTTTGCCCTGAGACCCTTGTTTTCCAAATTGGAATGAATGGAACGAACAGATGGGCCTGTGACTTTTTAAATTAGCACGTTAAGTTTGCATTGACCTAAAAACCTAATTCAGAGATTTATTAAAGCACCTGCTTGGAATCTAACGTTACCTTAAATGTTCTTCCAAAGTGGAATATCCAAACCACAGAGATTAGCAACCCTGGATTGAGTGATATGTTACAGGCAGGAAAATAGATACTAGGTTCTGGTGCTACACAAGAAATAATATTTTTGATTGTTATGTGAAATTAGAACAGTCTGAAACAGCTCAAATGTGATCCTAGACACAGTGAACTCATAAATGGTTCTACATGCTGGTAACTCTTCTTACACATTATTTAGAAGGGATTTTGTTGAACAGATGTACCTAGGAAAATCTAGCTGCTCTTAGTACTGGAGTAGAAAATGTCTAAATTAAATTATTCACCAGTTGTCATTTGTTCAGCTCTATTACAAAAGTGTTAGATTGGATAGTTCATAATAGTTGGGTGTGTTTCCAGAAATGCCTTTCTCTTGTCTCCTGTTGTTCATCGTGCTTCTTTTTCTTTGCTTTCCACCTAGAAGTGCAGAGGCATTAGTTGATGTGTTGGTTCCAACACACACTGCAGCGGCAGCGCCAGGGTGCCAGCACAGCCCGGGGCTTCTGCTCTCAGTGTGTGCAGGTGGTGGGGCAGGCGCGTGGGGACTTCCTGGGAACACTGCGCCTTGCCCTGTTGCTGCAGAGAAACCTGCATTGCTAGTGGTGAATGTGGCATGGGGCGTGTGACAATACTGCGCGTTAGCACTTCTCCTGGAAAGTTGCGGTTTTAACTGAGTTTTCTGATCAAGTATATAATAAAATGTGTTGTTTTATGCATTTGTGAATTTTGAGGAAATGCATGACCGTGCACATCATAAAACACTCTCTTGATATGTATATTTACTGGATATGTATAGAACGTTTGCTATGTGTTGGTCAAAGAATACACATAGTCTTTGCTTGAATTTTCTAAGCTTAGAAAGTTCTGGAGGCCAGCATATCACTTTTTAATGTATGTAAGCTAATATAATATACATTTTATCACATAGAAGTCCTGTAGAGGGCCAAAGGAAGATGCTTGCTTGCTGAACGTAGTTGTGCATGGTGGACATAATTCTTTTTATTCAAAATCCATGGCTGTGCCTACAAAGGGTGAATCATCATATCCTTTTATCTTCTTCCAGCCTAAGAAGAGAGACGTCTAATCTGAAGTTCACAAAAACAGAGTCAAGAAACGAGCTGAACTACGGACTAAGGCCGATTCCGCGGTGAGTAAGCCAAGGCTTTCTTGTGCTGAGCTATCTGTGGGAGGGGAAGATTTAGTGGCACGTTCTTTCAACCCAGAAGGAAAAGACACATTTAATATCATTGAATGAAACCTTAAAAATCCATCTTACAAAGGCAGTATTAAAAATTAAATATTTATTACCGTTTTAATATTTTAGCAAAAAGACTTGAATTTTGTGCAGACTATTTTTTCAGGTTTGATTCATATGCCTACGTTTTGCTGTCGCTGTGTTACTTCTAATGCTGTATCTTATAATTGTATCATCAAGCAGTATCTATAACTGATGATTTAAAGCACTTGAGCTTGTTAAGAAACCTCTTAGTCCTTGACAAACTGGTATTTGAATGTTGCTGCTGCGGTAGCTGTTGAGGGGCACTTTAGGCATTGAGTGGCAGGGCCCTGGGTGTCTTCACCTGTTCCGGCCATGTCCACCACAGGGATGAGGCCGCATCTCCGTCTCCGTTTCCTCGCTGAAGTGCGGGCACGTGGCTGCACAGCCGGGCAGGGGGCTCTCGGGGCACCGCGGCTCTGGCCGCTGGGCTGCCCGGGTGGGCTGCTCCGCCACCTGAGCTGAGGGCCCTGACAGCGCCTTCCTCAACCCTCTTCCCTCAGCTTTCCTAGGAAAACAAGATTGAAGCCTATATGAGCGAGAGGGAAAACTCCTCCTGTTCTACAGAAACGTGAAAGCGTAAATGAAATAAACCTCAATAGAGGGAAAACTTACCCAGGTTACTGATAACCCTATGGAGGTTATCAGTGGTGAAGCGATAGGGAAGGCTGGGTAAACTCACATATTTAATTCATGCCAGAAGTGGGTAAATGCTTTGTTTCCCAGGTGTGTTTATTTTTGCTTGTATAAATGCAGTTGCATTGCAAAATCACCCATCACTTCCATATACTATATGGAGGTCTGATATCACTTTGAAAATTGCTAATCCTAGAGTATCAATCCAGTCACGTACTTTAGTGTTTAAACTTATTTTATTGCAGCTGCTTTTAATGGTGGCAAATTTCTGCCATAACAGCCCCTTTATTGGGAAGAGGAAAATGTTTTGGGAATCCACACTGGTGAAATAACTTTCTGTTATTTTACCTAGCAGCACCAAGAAAGTGATTTGAACAGAGCCTTCTGCCACCCCTGTATCTGTCCTTAAATGGCTGACAACTTATTAAAAGTGTGTGGCAGATAGATCACGCTTGATCTCTTACATCTGTGCCTTGGCTCTTGCAGGTATCAATAGAATATTTCAGGGATACTGGTGGGGCTGCTCTTCTCCCCAAACAATTGCATAGAGTTACACAAATGTATTTTTGTAGCCTGCACAAACATCTGATCCAAGATGGTGACAAATCACCCTGGATCAGATTTTTGAGCACGTTACATTTCACGCAGGCACTCATCTGCATTTGTTTACTGCAATAAAGGGAAACATATGCATCTTGAAAATTATTTGACATGCCTGATAACAGCTTTTATAACTAATAACATACTTGAAGGATCTCTTGGTAATTGCACAGAAGGAACACAAAATCCAGTGAGATTTCCCTGCTTAAATAATTCTGAAATAATAGCTTACGGGTAGCAAGGAAAAGGAACCAGCACTGTGATATGCCTAGGCAGCACATTCAGGCTGGGCCAACATATGCCAGACTCTCCTGAGAGATACTACTATAGAAACATGGGTTTAGTATAGATTAGAACTAAGCTCCTTGCAGTGCTTATAAGGAATAGGTTTTTCTTTGCATCTGAGGAAAAACAAAAGTACAAGAAAAGAAACTCTGGCAGAACAAATATCCTTAGTGACTAGAATGACTTTGTTTTCTGTTTAATGCAAATACACACTTTTAGTTTGGGCTAGGATTCCTCGGCTTTCACGGGATTTGCATCTCATATCTCTGCTCTGTCTGAATGGCTTCAATTTGGGTCTTTGGTAAGATACTCGGGGATGGCATTACCTGCGTCCATGTGGCCAGGCACAGGATTAGGCCGGCAGCAAATGTCAAGCACAAATGAGAATGTTGTGTCAAAGAAGCTGAGGAGGGGTATTGAGGGCCCGCTGTGATGAACAGCCCCCCGGGCAGGGCCCTGGCAAGGACGGCCCGTTTCCGTTTCCTGGTGAGCGCTGCCGGCACTGTGGCCAGTCTGGATCTTTCCTGATGCTCCTTGGAGCAGGACGCAAGGCTGAAGCGGCCCTGGTAGCGCAACGCCAGAATTCGGCCCTGTTCTCAGTAAGACCTGTGCTGTAGCTTTCTGTAACTAAGCAAGAAAAGGAAATTTGCTTGGCAGAACTGGCGAATTTTATTTTATTTTATTTTATTTTATTTTATTTTATTTTATTTTATTTTATTTTATTTTATTTTATTTTATTTTATTTTATTTTATTTTCTGCATTAAAGAAAACATAACGGATTTAACCTCCGCGTAGTGTCTGTAATGGAAGATGGGCTTGTGTAAAGGGCATTTTATAGATGTGTGTATATACTACATCTATACTCTATTTACTGCATAAATGCATATTTATATATGTATCTGTATGCACATATACATACATGTGTGTGAAAGAGAAGCCGGCACGTGGTTTTCAAAGCGTGCAAGAAGCCAAAGGTAGCGCTGTTATTTGCAGCCTGTGTCCCTTGGGAAGTGTCAGCCAGCATTACTGCTGCCCACAAACACCCTTTGCGATGCTTGCTCGCTTCTTCCAGCAATCGTGTGACATTTGTTAGGGTCATTCACTTGATTCCTCTATTTTTATTTTCTTCTCTGATCTTGTACTGACTCATACAGACAGTTCTAAACAGATTTTTTTTCTTGAATTCATACTATCACTTTGAAGTTTTCTTATTTCTCTGGCAGTGATGCCTAAAATGAAAAGATGCAAGTTCTTTGTGGTTTAACGCCCTGCCAGCAGAACAGGTGGGCAAGATTACTGGCAGCAAATAAACCTTGTGAAATGTGCATATCAAGGCTAGGGAACGTGTTTTTCATTTAAAAATATATGCTGGATGCTCAGCTATTTTCATCATTATCTTCACAGTTCTGGAAATTAAACCATGGACAACTGTAATTCCACACAAGTCTTTGGCCCTTATTTTAACAAGTAGGTTTTAAAAATGAAAATGGTCTGGCATGTAAAGTTGCCTCCTTGGTACGCAGTGTATGTGCCAGGAGTGTTGTTAGAAAGGGAGTTTGTAAAAATAAAACTGGAAGAAATGAGGAGACAAAGCAGAAGTGACAGGGTTCACTCCTTTCAGATTTGAATCTGCTTTTTTACGGTCCAAATTACTAAATCATTTTAGTATTTGGTTAACCTTAATCACAGTAACAGCCGCTTTGATGTCCGTGTATTTATGTGAGCAAAGCTGGGCACGTGCAAGGATGAGGTACCCAAGGGCAGGCAGGATGCTCATTCTCTGACATTATAGCCTAACACCTTGTGTAGCCCACATCCACAGGACATAGCGCATAGGAGCAGCATGGCAGTGCCAGCCAGCTCCAATCCTCAGTTTCCCACTAGGATTGAATTAGGATCTGTTTTGCAGGGCTGCGTTGGGGAGGCAGGTCCCGTCCCGCTGCAGTGGCCCTGGCTCAGGAGGGCAAGGAGAGATGGCAGCAGGAGCGCTGGGCTCGGCTCTGCCTCGGGAGCTCCTCCGGCAAGTTTGGCTCATTGAACTCGGGCTTAGAGAGGGAACAGGAGCGAGCGCCAGGAAAGTCAGCAGAAACCAGCAACAGTGCCCACCTGGTTCACACACCTAGTGGTGGCAGAACAAAGGAAAGTGTTCAGGGAAGGGAAAAACAGTTTCTAACCCGGGAAACGTACAGAAATGCTCTAATAAATCCTTTTATTATCCTTTGGGATAAGGATAGGAAAATGAATTCAAGCTACGCATGTATGTTAAATACCTGCTGAGCAATGCTGCTGGAACTGGATTACTCTTAGTGTTCCCATCTTTGGGGAACTGTACAGGAAAAAACGCATGTTTCTTTGTAGTATGAGTAATTTCAGTATTAAGTAAAATTTGAGTAGAGATTTCAGGCTAATTTGGGAACCAGGCTCCCAGGTTACATCTAAATGTCTCTGTAGAAGCTTAAATCTTTTCTTGAGCTCCATCTAAGTCTTCTGAAGTGTTTGCCGCTGTGTTGCACTGCGTGTTGGTCAATTAATTAAGGGGGGGGGGGGGGGGGAGAAAAAAGGGAAAATTGAAAAACTTCCAGAATTTAAAAATGCTCAAGATGCTCAAGTTTCAGGTTACTTGTCAATGCTCCTGGGTGCGTATGCTGAGCAAATGAGATTCTATCCTTCACAGTGTGCATTGGGGACTAGCATGTGTCTGTTGGATTATCTGTATTAATATGTATTTATGAGAGACAGGGTATCTAGATATATCATGTAACTCCTCTCCTGTGACAAGGTTTCCTATTCTTGACATAAAGCTTATATCCTAAATCCCCTCATCCCCAGATTTTCCTGCTCTTTCCCTTGGGAGCTCTTCTGCCAGTACGGAGGGACCTTCCTATGTTCTTCTGCTGTGAAATAACGTAGCACAACCCGACTGGCCAGAATGTGGTGCCCAGGTTAATTAAACCTGCTAAAAGCAAAATGCGTGGCCACTACGCGGTATTTTTCTTTAACATGTAGTATTTCATATTGTGGAACTAGCATAGTATAACCTCTTGCATAATCATTTTTATAGCTAGTTGTGTTTTTTTGAATATATTTTAAAGGAATATGAATACTTCTACTCTGAGTTTAAAATAATATAATAATAATATGATAAAATATAATAATAATTACTCTAGGAAATATTTTCATTGAGGGATTTTTGGGATAGCGTTTCTGAACCGTATTGAGTCATTTTCCTCTAGGATAGAAGCACATTAAAAGTATAGATTTTCATTATATATTCAAAAAGATTTGAAGCCTACCAAGCATGGGTGGCTTGGGGAGTATGTATTTGTTACCTGTGAGTCATCAGCGTGAT